CCCGTCATGCACCGTAGCCCCACCATACCAGACACCATGACACTTCTGAGAATCCAGAAAAATGAGATATGGAAGTGGGTGGTATTCAACCTCCACCCAAACTTCCCGCTTCTTAAATATTCCATTAGGCCCTACTCTGGCACCACCCCTTATCCTATAGAAGGAAGACCCCCCTCCCCCCAACTTTGGAGGCCCTTCCTCCCTCAGTGAATAGAGCTTGCCTGTATTCACATCTGAGTGTGTGCTGTCTTTTTGAATAAATCATGCTTCCCTGTACACCTTTATGTCTCCTCTTTGAACTCTTTTCTCTCATGGAGATAAGAAGCTAGAACAAACCCAGCAGGATGGGAGTGGGGGGGTGGGGCTAGGGGGAAGGGGTTGAGACCCCCGTACCTGGTGGGTGTTGTTCCACTTTAGGGAACCTCTCTTACAGTGCCTGGCACTGATCAGGTCGAAGATGACCTGCTCTACCTCTGCATACAAGGCTACTGGGCATGTCTGCAGACACAGGAAAGTGAGTGCGTGGCCCCATTCAGCATCCATCTCTGCAGTTAAAGAACCTAGCAGTAGGTGAAAGTGTATACCCACTGAGCCCTTTACCCTTTTACCCTGCCCTCCCGCCTCGTTCCCCCACATGATGGTAGCTGGTTTTCACATGTTCCTAGTCATCCACATGCTATTTCTCAGCCTTGACGTTGGGTTCTCAGAATGTTTATTCATTGACTTAGTTTACTTGAGAGGCAGAGTGACCTCCCATCCGCTGATTCATTCCCCAAATGCCCACAAGGGCCGGGGCTGGGCCAGGGCTGAAGGCAGGAACCAAGGACTCAGTTCAGATCCCCCATGTGGGTAGCAGGGACCCACACTTTTGAGCTGTCACCTGCCGCCTCCCAGTGTGCATTAGCAGGGAGCTGGAGTCAGGAGCAGAGCCAGGACACACACATGGGTGTGGGCACCCCAACCTGTGTCTTTACTGCTTCACCAAACGCCTGCCTCAGGATGTAGAAGTTTCTTTCTTTCTTTTTTTTTTTTTTTCCTTTTAAGAAGTTTTGGACATATTCATTAGGCCACAAAGCCCACCCTGAACATCAGGGTATTGCATTTCTTTTCTTTTCTTTTCTTTTCTTTTCTTTTCTTTTCTTTTCTTTTCTTTTCTTTTTTTAAGATTTATTTTTCCTTATTTGAAAGAGTTACAGAGAGAGAGAGAGAGAGAGAGAGAGATGTCTTCCATCCACTGGTTCACTCCCCAAATGGCTGCAATGGCTGGAGCTGCACCAATCCGAAGTCAGGAGCCAGGTGCTTCTTCCTGGTCTCCCATGTGGGTGCAGGGTCCCAAGCATTTGGGTCAATTTGGGTCATCTTCCACTGCTTTCCCAGGCCACAGTAGAGAGCTAGATCAGAAGTGGAGCAGCTGGGACTCGAACTGGTGCCCATATGGGATGCTGGCACTGCAGGCCAGGGCTTTAACCCACTGTATCACAGTGCCAGCCCCTGTATTGTATTTCTTATCCTGCTTAATATGAGTCTTATAAACATTTTACCTTGGAAATACTAAGGTATTTTTAAGATTTATTTATGTGGCCGGCGCTGCGGCTCACTAGGCTAACCCTCTGCCTTGCGGCGCCGGCACACCGGGTTCTAGTCCCGGTCGGGGTGCCGGATTCTGCCCCGGTTGCCCCTCTTCCAGGCCAGCTCTCTGCTGTGGCCCGGGAGTGCAGTGGAGGATGGCCCAAGTGCTTGGGCCCTGCACCCCATGGGAGACCAGGAGAAGTACCTGGCTCCTACTTTCGGATCAGCGCGGTGCACCGGCAGCGGCAGCCATTGGAGGGTGAACCAACAGCAAAGGAAGACCTTTCTCTCTGTCTCTCTGTCTCTCTCACTGTCCACTCTGCCTGTCAAAACAAAAACAAAAACAAAACAAAACAAAAAAAACAAAGAGAGAGAAAGATTTATTTATGTGAAAGACACAGTTACAGAGAGAGTTAGAGATACAGAGAGAGAGCCACAGTGCCAGCCTCATAGCCAATTTTAACTGTGTAGTTCAGCGATATAAAAGTACATTCAGGGGCTGACGCTGTGGCACAGCGGGTAAAGCCACTGCCTGCAGTGCCAGCATCCCATATGGTTGCTGGTTCAAGTCCTGGCTGCTCCACTTCCCATCCAGCTCTCTGCTGTGGTCTGGGAAAGCAGCAGAAGATGGCCCAGTTCTTGGGCCCCTACACTCAAGTGGGAGACCTGGAAGAAGCTCCTGGCTCCTGGCTTCGGATCAGTGTAGCTCCGGCCGTTGTGGCCATCTGGGGAGTGACCCAGCGGATGGAAGACCTCTCTCTCTCTCTCTCTCTCTCTCTCTCTCTCTCTGCCTCTCCTCTCTGTGTAACTCTGATTTTCAACTAAATAAAGACATCTTTAGAAAAATAAACAAGTACGTCCACATTACTGTGTAGCGGATTTCCAGAATGTTTCTTCTTGCAAATCTGAAACTCTGCATCTAAACCTCAGTCCCTGTCTGTCAGCTCTCCCCACCTCCGTCCCTGTAAACCACCATTCTGCTTTGTTTCTCTGGGTTTGACTGCTCTCCGTTCCTCATGAATGGAATCATACTGTTTATCCTTTTCCAACTGGCTCACTTCACTGAGCAAAATGGCCTCGGAGTTTACCAACTGTTACAGCACATGATACGTTTCCTTTTTTTTTTTTTTTAAGGTTTATTGATTTGAAAGGCAGAGCGACAGAGACCTTCCAAATGCGATTCACTCCCCAAACTGCCGAACAGCCAGGCCTGGTCCAGGCTGAAGCCAGGAACCCAGAATTCCATCTGAGTCTCCTATATGGGTGCCAGGGTCCACTGCCTTCCCAGGTGCATTAGCAGGGGCCTGGCTCAGCAGTAGAGCAGCCGGGACTTGAGCTGGTGCTCTGACATGAGGTGCTGGCATATGCCAGCCCCAGTTTCCTTCATTTTTAAGACTGAGTAGTATCCCATCGTGTATGTGTGTTTGCCTATCCCTTCATCAGTTGATGGACACTTGGGTTGCTTCCTCCTTTTGTCTGTCATGAATGGTGCACACATGGATGTGCAAATAACCTCTGGAGACTACTGTCCATTCCCTTGGCTCTGTAGCCTAGAAGTGGGATTGCTGGGTCATAGTAATTCTATTTTAATTTTTTGAGGCATTGTGTAGGGGTTTTCATATCAGAAGTAGAGTAGCCCAAGGGGCTGGCAATGTGGTGAAGTAGGTTAATCTTCTGCCTGTGGTGCCGGCATCCCATATGGGCGCTGGTTCGTGTTCCGGCTGCTCCTCTTCCCATCCAGCTCTCTGCTGCGGCCTGGGAGAGCAACAGAGGATGGTCCAAGTGCTTGGGCCCCTGCACCCTCATGGGAGACCTGGAAGAGGCTCCTGGCTCCTGGCTTCAAATTGATCCAGCTGCAGCCATTTGGGGAGTGAACCAGCATATGGAGAACCTTTGTCTCTCCCTCTCACTGTTTGTGACTCTGCCTCTCAAATAAAGAAATAAAATCTTTAAAAAAAAAAAAAAAAGAAGAAGAAGAAGAAGTGGAGCAGCCAGGCTACTGCTGCAGGTGGGGACTTCATCTGCTTGCCCTACAGTATGGGCCCCCATTTGGGTACTTGTAACTCTTGTTATTTCATACCGTGCCTACTCACCCCAGCAGTGTCCTTCACCTGTGCATGCTAACATGCCCGGAAGGCAGCAGATGATGGCCCCAGTCAAGCCATGTGGGAGGGAGGCCTGGATGGAATTTCTGGCTCTTTACTATGGCTTGGCACAGCGCAGGCCATTGTGGCCTTTTGGGGAGTGAACCAGTGGATGGAACATCTCTGTGTGTCTCTCTTTGTCTCTGTCACTCTGCCTTTCAAATAAGCAATCAGTCTTTTAAAAATTCTCCAACAGCAGCGCTCCCTCCCCTCCCCCCATTTATTTATTTATTTGAAAGGCAGAGTGACAGAGAGAGAGGGAGAGAGCCTCTTCTGGGTTTCCTATGTGAGTGCTGGGGCCCAAGGACTTGGGCCATCTTTCGCTGTTTTGCCAGGCCCATTAGTAGGGAGCTGGATCAGAAGTGGAGCAGCCAGGACTGATGCCCGTATGGGATGCCAGCGCTGCAGGCAGTGGCTTTACCCGCTATGCCACATTGCTGGCCCCAACAGCAGCTCTCTTTATGCTCAGATGTCAACTGGGACTCTGCCCTGCCCTAGAGATAGCTAGTGTACCCAAGCCTGCTGCCTGCCCCACCCTCTTACCTCCCCGCTCACTTCCTGTTGTCTTGGCTGCTTTGCTTGCCAAACTGTTCCCGCCCCAGCACCTGTGTACCTGTCTCTTCCACCTGGAACTCCCTCCCCCTGTTGGCACGTACCGCATTCCCTGCCTCACCCTCTGGTCTCTGTTCTTCAGAGGGGACTGTCCCTGCCCCCTCTCAGAGCCCCACCCACGCTTGCCCGTTCCTCTCCCTCTTAACCTATGTCTTTCTCTGCTACCTTTATCGCATGTAGGAATCCTACCAGTTTACATGTCCCTGATACTTCTGCTCTTTTGAGTGGCGCCTGGAAGTTGGTAGGAGGAGCTCAATACAGGACACATGGTGTGGAATAATTTTATTTTGTTGTTCCCCTTCCATTCATTCATTCGTTCTCCTGTAACACACTCTGAGGGGTTTGCTGCTGCGAGCCAGGAGCCGCACAGATGGCTGCAGCAGAAAGCTTGCACGTGTGGACCTGTGCTTGAGGGGAGAACGTAGGACCCCTTCTCCAGGATCCGTGGGAGCGAAATCAGTGGTTCTGGGATGGCTGCCCAGACCCCTGAGCAACCGCCGTTTACTGAGATCAGAGTGGTCGCACTGTCATCAAGCACACCACCTGGTCAGCCCTCTCCCTCGCTGCCCCCCCCCCCATGCGGTCTCCTCTTCGAGCAGCTCTGACTACTCTTGCTCTGGCAGCCTGGGCTGGCGTCCTGACTGGTCTAACCGCTGTTGTCTCTTCCCTTTGCAGAGGGATGTTTGCTGGGGGCCTGAAGGAGATGGAGCAGGAAGAGGTGCTGATCCACGGCGTGTCCTACAACGCCATGTGCCAAATCCTGCATTTCATATACACCTCCGAGCTGGAGCTCAACCTCAGCAACGTGCAGGAGACGCTGGTTGCCGCCTGCCAGCTTCAGGTGGGGCTCACCTCGTGGAGCGGCCACACCCGCACCCAGAGCGCCCAGCCCGCCTGCCACGCCCCCCAGGCAGTGGCGTTGGCCCGAGGCTGTGTCACGAGGGTGAAGATACCCATACCCAACAGTGGAGGAAGCCCCGGAGCAAGAACGGGCCTCTTGGGCAGAGCCTGGAAGGGGCTCCTCCTCTGCCTCCGCCCTCTGCTCTTTTTTTTTGAAGATTTACAGAGAGATCTTGATCTTCCATCCGCTGGTTCACTCTCCATGTGGCTGCAACAGCCAGGGCTGTGCCAGGCTGAAGCCAGGAGGCCAGAGCTTCTTTTGGGTCTCCCATGTGAGTGCAGGGACCCAAACACTTGGGCCATCCTCCGCTACTTTCCCAGGTGCATTAGCACAGAGCTTGATCAGACATAAAGTTCTGGGACTGGTACCAGAGCCAGTATGGGATGCCGGTGTCACAGGTGGTGGCTTTACCCGCTGCACCACTACCCCGGCCTTTGCCTTCTGCCCTTTTGCTGCTTCCTTCCCCTCCTGGCCAGGGGCTGCACTGAGGCTGTGGGTGCAGTGTCCTATGTGCTCTGATGCCTGGTGATGCGAGGCTGCACCCACCCCCATCCACAGCATGCTGTACAGGCCATTCCCACCTGTCCTCGGCAGTTCTCCCTTTGAAACACTTGTTATCCTGAGGCCGTGTTTGGAAGATACTACTGAACCTCAGTGGTGTGGGCGCAGCGACACAGGGCTGGGCGTGCAGGTGCCTTTGAGTCATCAGCCCCAGGCCTGAACTGGGTTGAAGGTCACCTCTTCTCATATTTCTTTTCTTTTCCTTTTTTTTTTTTTTTTAAGATTTATTTTATTTACTTGAAAGGCAGAGTTACAGAAAGGCAGAGGTAGAGAGAGAGAGAAAGAGAGAAAGGGAGAGGGAAAGGGAGGGAGGTCTTCTATCCACTGGTTCACTCCCCAGATGGCTGCAGCGGCTGGAGCTACACCCATCCAAAGCCAGGAGCCAGGAGCTTCTTCTGGGACTCCAACTCAGGTGCAGGGGCCCAAAGACTTGGGCCATCTTCCACTTCTTTCCTAGGCCATAGCAGAGAGCTAGATCGGAAGTGGAGCAGCCAGAACTTGAACTGGCGCCCATATGGGATGCCGGCACTGCAGGTGGCGGCTTTACCCGCTGTGGCACAGTACCACCCCCCATGTTTCTTGAAAGTGAAACAAAATGCTACATGGAGTTCATCCTTCTGACCTTTCACACGAGAATGTGTTTGGGCAGCTGGAGGGTGCCCGTCCCCACCCTTTGCGACAGGTGGGCAGGTGTGAGGCTGACCCTACATGTGTGTTGGTCTGGATACAACTCCCCCCACCATGGGCAGGTGAAGCTGAGCCCAGGCAGCTTCTCCACAGAGCTCTCTTCTGCCATTGTCACTTTGGGGACGCTCAGCCAGTTTTGTTATAGCGCTTAACTCCGGAACATCCTCCCCATCTCATCCCCGGCATGGCTGAGGTCCAGCTGTCCGTCCTCCTCCATGCCCGCCTCCCGCCTGGAGCACCCTGCTCTGTTGTGTCCCACAGCCATTCTGCCACGTCCTGGGCTCAGGACCTCGCGCTGCCTCGGGAGCTCTTGCACCTTCTGCATCCGCTGTGTCCACACCTGGACGTGCCATCCTCGTCCATCTCGCCTGGAGCTGTCTATAGCCATTTCCCCTGCTGCCCCTGGTCCCCTTTCTACTGACACCAAATCACCTTCCCAGCTCCGCTTTCTCTCTCCCACCCACCTTCTCAGACACCTGCAAGTCTCTCCGTATCCCGAGTCCTGGAGCTGTCAGCCCGAGGGCTCAGGAATGAGGACTTCTACGGGTGTTGACGAGGCTCCTCGTGGTGCCCCTAGAGCCCTGGGTCTGCAGGCAGTGAGACCGTCCACACGAGTCACTCAGGCAAATGTGTTCCCTTCCCTGAGCCTGTCGCGGAGCCTCCTACGTGGGAGAAGCCTTGGCCAGATTCTACCAAGGAGAGGGCCGCGGCTGCTCGGAAGAGAGGGCGGGAAGCAGAGGGGACAGGAAGCCAGCGCTCCTCAAGGAGCAGCTCCTCAACCCACCCGCACTCCCCTGAGGGCTGTGACTCTCACACCTGCCCAGACCCACATGGGATGCCGGCACCGAAGGTCTTTCTGCGCTTTGGTTTGCCTTTCTTGACTGTGGCCATCCACACCAGCAGCGGGAAGTCTGTTCAGCCGGCCTCAGTCACCTCCACAGAGATGATGTACATGACATTGGTCCCTGTGTTGTCAGCACAGTTGATCACTGTGCCGACCGGAAGACCTAGGGAAATTCAAAATTTTACACTGGAGGACTCACTGCGTCCTCGCTTTGACATTTCAAATGTTGGAAAGGGATAGCAAATACATTTTTTTACAGATTTTTAAAAAATATATTTATTTATTTATTTTAAAGGCAGACTTACAAATAGGAGAGAGATCAGAGATCTTTCATCTACTGGTTCACTCTCCAAATGGCTCCAGTGGCTTCTTCCTGGTCTCCCACGTGGGTGCAGGGGCCCAAACACTTAGGCCATTTGCTGCTTTCCCAGGTACATTAGCAGGGAGCTGTATTGGAAGTGGTGTAGCCAGGCCTCAAACTGACACCATTATGGGGTACCAATATTGCAGGCAGTTTCTTAACCTACCACACTACGATACTGGCCAGGCAGCAAATAAATCTTTTTAAAAATAAAAAGTAAAATATTGTAAATGCATGTTGATAAGGCTTTTCAACACCGGCAAAGCTGCTCCATGTGCCGTGGTTAATCAGTTGCCGGTAGATAAATCAGGTATTCCTGTTTTCTGAGAAGCTCAGCAGCCCTGTTTTCCTAAAGCGTTTGTCAGCACCTGGTGTTATCCCAGGCAGTTTTTCCTGGGACCTTTTCCTCTGTCTCCCTTTCTCCTGCCATCCTTGGCTCATCAGACCCCAAGGTGACCTTCAACAGCCTCGAGCCTCTGTGGCCTGATTCTTAGCCCCTTGGCCCTCTTCCCACCCACCATCTGAGCAGAGCCCTGGGATGGGTGCTGGGTGGGCATTGGGGAGCACCTGGACAGCAGTTCTGAGCTGAGGGAGACACGGCCGCCCTCACCCGCAGCCCCCCACCCCAGGTCGGGTTGTTGGGCCTGCAGCTTTGAAGAGCCCCACCCCCACCGTGGGAATTGTGGCAGGCGAGAAGAGCCGGCTGTGTTTTCGATCCCAGCACCACCAGAGAGGCAGACACTAACAGAGAGCCCTGGGACGCGTGTGGGGGTGGTCCCGAGTCGCTACCAAACCGGGGACGCCTGGCTCAGTGACTATTTGTGCCGCTTTCTCTGGTCAGCGAGGCGGCTGCCGTCTGTGAGACGCCTGCCCTGTGCCGGCTGGTTCCCGCACAGTCTCACTCCCATGCTATGCGTGCTGCTCATCGCCTCAACTCTCCCCGTTTTCCAGATGGGGGAAACTGAGTTTCAGAGATGCTGAGCACACACCACGCCCCCCCTCACTAAACCCTGTCAGCCTGCAGTAAGCCCCAGGTGTTTCTGGTTTGTCAGAAAGGTGGGGGACGGGTGACGAGGGCTTGCGCGTCCCCCACCCCCAGGGGGGCCTGGCCGAGCGTGCCAGCTGTGCTTGTGCCATCCCCCTGCCTCCCAGCCTCAGACTCAGCGGGTGTCGCTCCCCTTGCAGATCCCAGAGATTATCCATTTCTGCTGCGACTTCCTCATGTCCTGGGTGGACGAGGAGAACATTCTGGATGTCTACCGGCTGGCCGAGCTGTTTGACCTGAGCCGCCTGACCGAGCAGCTGGACGCCTACATCCTCAAGAACTTTGTGGCCTTCTCCCGGACTGACAAGTACCGCCAGCTGCCCCTGGAGAAGGTCTACTCCCTGCTCAGCAGCAACCGCCTGGAGGTGTCGTGCGAGACGGAGGTCTACGAGGGGGCCCTGCTCTACCATTACACCCTGGAGCAGGTGCAAGCCGACCAGATCTCGCTGCATGAGCCCCCCAAGCTCCTGGAGACGGTGCGCTTTCCCCTGATGGAAGCAGAGGTCCTGCAGCGCCTGCATGACAAGCTGGACCCCAGCCCGCTGCGGGACACGGTGGCCAGTGCCCTCATGTACCACCGGAATGAGAGCCTGCAGCCTAGCCTGCAGGGCCCCCAGACGGAGCTGCGGTCAGACCTGCAGTGTGTGGTGGGCTTCGGGGGCATTCACTCCACACCGTCCACGGTGCTCAGCGACCAGGCCAAGTACCTGAACCCCCTGCTGGGGCAGTGGAAGCACTTCACCGCCTCCCTGGCCCCCCGCATGTCCAACCAGGGCATCGCGGTCCTCAACAACTTCGTGTACCTGATCGGAGGGGACAACAACGTCCAGGGTTTCCGAGCCGAGTCCCGGTGCTGGCGGTAAGAGAGGCCGGGTGCTGGCGTCTGTGCCTGCGGGTGACACGGGGCTGGCCAGCCATGTGGGCTGAGGGCTCCTAGGGGAGAGGGTGGGGGTGGTGCACAAAGAGCACGTCACGGAAGACCTGGTTCCCGCGTCAGCCTTCTGCACATGTGCTCAGCATGTGAACTCGCAGTGAGGGAAGAGAAAGGGGGCTCCCGTGCTCCTCGAAACCCATTCATTCACCCTGCATCCCAGCCGGCTCAGCCTTGTTGGGGAGGGCCTGAGTGGTGAGCGTGGCATCCACTTGTACTGGCTGCGCACGCGGCGAGGGGAACCTTGGCAGGAAGGGCGTCGGGGCTCTGGGGGACAGGGTAGGGCAGTGGCTCCTTCTGTCTTGTCCTCTTTCTCTTCGAAGCATCAGCACCCCCCTGTCTGTCTGCTCCTGCCTTCCCCCTCTCTAACCAGCAGCCTGCAGTGGGTGGGTGGCTTCCTGCTGCTCGGTCTCACCCTGCATTTCCTTTCAGTCCTGTAGGCGGCCTGTGTGCTGGGCACAAGGCTTCTTGGAGGGGGAGAGGGAAGGGAGAGGAGGGGGAGGGGGAGGAGAAGGGAGAAGGAGAGGAGGGGGAAGGGGAAGAAGAGGAGGGGGAGTTTTTCAAGAAGGAGTTTGGACTGCTGTGGTGTTGTCAGTCCTTTAGACTGTGACCCCACAAACCCATTGCTTGGAGCAGAAAAAGAGGCCGTAGGTCAAGAACCCCAGTCGCAGCCACTGTCAGATTTCCAGGGGGCACCTCCACCGCACTTTGGGTACACGTGGGCAGTCTCCCCACACCGCACATGGAAGACAGCATTGCCGAGAGGGAGTTTACCAACCTCTTCCGGTAGCCACGGGCCAGGGGCTGACCAAGTTCATGTCTTCGTCTCCTGGGGCAGGGGTGGTGGTGGGATCTAGCCATACCACGCCTCTCAGAATCAACCGCAGTGACCATGACCGAAGAGGAAACGGGCTTTCCCCAGCCACCTCTGCTCTCCTGCCCTCAGGAAGCAATCGCCTGTGTTAAAGGGATGTGACTCGGCTGGAAGCCAGCAAGAATATTTTGTGGTTGAACATGAGGAAGGGCAGAGTTCACAGAGGAGGTTTCCTCCCTAACCAAATGATGTCCCCGACGATGGATGTGGCCACACCTACTAGGGCTTCTCCCTGGCCAAGCCTCAAAGCTCTCGCCCACTCCCACCCCAGTGGGCTCAGTTTTCCAGCTTGGGAGGCTGTGGCCTAAGCTCCTCTGCTTGGGGAGCAGCCCACAGATGTGCAGAGCAGATCTCTGCAGAGCGTTCAGCAGAAGGCGTGGGCAGCTGTGTGCCCAGCAAAGGAAGCGGGTCTTCACCACAAGGCGGGCCCTGGGAGAGACAGCCAGGGCCTCTGTCTGCCCCTGTGCTCTGTCCTGTTGTGGGCTGGCTGAGGGGTGGGGGAGGGGGGAGGCAGAAGGGGGAAGGGGCGGGTCGTGTGTCACTCAGGACAGTGGTCCAAATTGCCGGTCTTGTGAGCTGCCCGCTGCAAGTCTGTCTAATGCTGGGACTCTGCAAAATGCTGACGCTGGCCCCTGTAATCAACGACCACGTCTCAAACTGCGGTCTGGGAGCTGGGTCCCAGGGGCAGGAGGAGTGGGCAAGAGCAGGCGTGAGGGCGGGGTTGGGGTGCCCAGGCCAGCCTGCCTTGCCGGTGGGGGGGGGGCGTCTCTGCGGAATGAATGTGTGGTGAACCTCCCTGCGGAGGGACTCAGAGCTTCCCGATGAATCCCGCCACCTGGCAGTTGGAAGAATGCAGTTCTTTCTCCCCTCCCCCTAGAGCACAAAAGGCTCTGAGATACAAGCCAAGAAGATTCTGCAGTGGATTGGGGTTGTCAGTCTGTGGCGTTAGTGCTTTGCCCAGTTACATCTAAAGCACTGATAGGGAAACTGCACGGGGAAAGTTACTTCTTGGAACAAATCGTGTTTGCCTCGGGGATATCACTGTTGTGTTGTTCTTTCTCTGCTTCCTCCGTGTGACACACATTCTTCTTTGTACCTTGTCCACGGCTACAGTAACTCTGGGGGTCACCAAATGCTGGCTAGGAGTAGCCAGTCACATGTTGCCATCTGCCCCACCCTACTTAAAATAATTTGTCTTTTTCCTACGGTAATTCTGTGGCTGCTAATATTTTTAATTTTTTTTAAATTTTATTTTACTTGAAAGGCAGGAAGATAAAGAGGGAGGGAGAGTTTTTTAAATTAGTTTTTTAAATGTCAGAGTTACAGAGAGAGACAGAGACAGAAAGATCTTCCATCTGCTGGTTCACTCCCCAAATGGCCACAATGGCCAGAGCTGGGCTGATGTGAAACCAAGAGCCAGGAGCTTCTCAGGATCGCCCACATGTGTGTGGGAGCCCAAATACTTGGGCCATCCATCCTCTGCTGCTTTCCCAGGCACATGAGCAGGGAGATGGATCGGAAGTGGAGCAGCTGGGACTTGAATGGGTGCCCATTTGAGGTGCGGGAGCTGCAGGAGGTAGCTTTACCTGCTATGCCGCAGCGCTGGTCCCAGAGCAGGAGATCTTCTATCTTCCGATTCACTCCCCAAATGCCTGCAACAACTGGGGCGGGGCCACCCCGAAGCCAGGAGCCTGGAACTCCAGCCAGGAAGTACTTAGCCATCATCTGCCACCCTCGCAGGGTGTACATTACCAGGAAGCTGGATCAGAAGTGGTGGAACCTGGACTCAAACCCAGGCACTGCAATATGGGAGGCAGGTGTACCAAGTGGTAGCTCTCCCTGCCAATGTTTTTAAGTACATTTGAAATTAAAAAAAAATTCAAAAGGCTTTAAAACACTTAACAGTCACAGAATGACAGAAGAAAAGCTTTATTGGATGAGGATCTGAGAGCATTTTTATACTGACTAGATTTCCCTCGGTGATGTAAACAAGTACTTATTTCACACAGCCTGGACACTGGGAGGCCCAAGGTCACGGTGCTGGTCATCTTGGTGCACGTGCAGACCCACTCTTGCTGTGTCCTCGCCCGGTGGAGGAGCACTCTGGCTTGTCTCTGCGAAGGGGCACTGACCCGCTCAGCAGAGCCTTGCCCTTGGCACCTGACTTCACAAAGTCCCCACCTCCCAGCGCTGCCACATTGCGTCCTAGGGCTTCAAAATAGGGATTTGGCAGGGTTGGGGTAAGGGGTGGGACACAAGCATTTAGTCATCAGCAAACACTAAAGCTGTTTATATCTTTAAAACATTTTTTAAAAATTTATTCTCGTGTTTGGAAGAGAGAAAGCGAGATCTTCCACCTGCTGGTTCATTCCCCAAACGCCAACAGCCAGGGCTGGGTCAGGCCAAAGGCTGGAGCTCCATCCAGGTCTCCGACGTGGGTGGCAGGGACACAGATACCCAAACCATCGTCTGCTGCCTCCCAGGCTGTGTTTTTCATTAGCAGGAAGCTGGCTCAGAAGCAAGGTGAAACTTGAACCCAGACCCTCGGACATGGGATGCAGGTTGTCCCAAGTGGCATCCCAACCCTGGCACCAAAAGCCTGCCCCTATAATCTCCATATGCAGCAGTGAAGCGTGTTCTCATGAGAAACAAATATTACTTGGGAACCTATTCTGAGAAGGAAGCAATCAATCCAGGGACTCAGCGTTGTGGTGTGGGCGCCGGCATCCCATATGGGCACTGGTTCGAATCCCGGCTGCTCCACTTCCAATCCAGCTCCCTGCTTATGCACCTGGGAAAGCAGCAGAGGATGGTCCAAGTGCTTGGACCATGTGGGAGACCTGGATGGAGCTCCTGGCTTCAGATTGACCCAGACCCAGCTTTTGGGACCTCTTGGGGAGTGAACCAGCTGATGGAAGACTTCTCTTTCTGTCTCTCTGTAACTCTACCTTTCAAATAAATAAATCTGAAAAAGAAAGAAAGAAAGAAAGAAAGCCAATATTGAAGAAGAGGTGGGTTATGAGAGACAGAGAGGGCTAAGGAGAGCAACCCCTGACTTGGTGCATTACAAATAGCATACATATATTGAATCATCACACTGCACCCCATAAATTTGTACAGCCTAAAAGAAAGTACAACTGGGGGAAAAAACAGGAAATGAGTGAAATTTTGGTTATGTCACAATTACTGGCATGTGGTATCAGTGTTGACTCAGCCTGAGCAGCCGTGAGGGGAAGAGGCCAGTGGAGGCATTCAGAGGGTCTTGTCTCACGCTGGTGGGAGAAGCACATGCTGCCGACTTGGGTTACACTGAAAACAGGGCACAAAGACACACACGCTCCCAGAGGAGACCAGCACGCAGGAAGGGCCGTGGCCAGCCCGATGCCGGCTGGACAGCAGGGTCCCTGTGAGCACTGGGCCTTCCCCAGGCTCGTGCCCCGCGTCGTTCAGGTGCCAGCTCCTCCACAGGTCTTTCCTGGCGTCCTGAAGATCAGCGCGCTGCCCTTGCCCGCCCCCGCCCCGCTGGCTGGCCCACCACCCCCTTCCTCTCCTGGAACACCAAGAGACTAAAACCGACAGCCAGGGACATCCAACTAGAAGGGGCAGGACCAGGAGTCACACCCTGGGCAGGTGTGACCCAGGTGCCTGTGCTGGCTGCCATGGGCCCTGCTCCCTGCAGAAGTGGCCGTGGGCGGCGCCCGACTTGCTCTGTGGGATAAAAGGCTCCAGCTGAGGTCTTGCCTGGCCAGCGCTGGGCACAGGCCAGAGAAAGCGCTGTTGAGTCTCCTGAGCCAGTTAGACCTGTTCTCCCTGGGCGCTGTTCTCCCTCTGCAGAAATAAAAGCACTCGTCTGAAAAAAGGCCGTTAGCAAAGAGGCTGCAGCAGCTGGAGCCAGGCGCGTGCTGGAGCCAGGTGCGTGCTGGTGCCTGGGTGGCTTCCCGGGGGAAACGGGGTGTGTACGTGTCCGTCCTGGGATCATCTGTGTTAACAGCACGCCTTCCTGTGTGCGCCACGTGGGCCCAGCAGAGTCCAGGCCTGGTGATGGTGAGGAAGGGAGGAGGCAGAGAGAAGTCCCCAGGGTGTGGTGCTAGAAAGGTGTGTGTGGTCCTGGGCCTGTGGATGGGCCTTGGGTGCCAGCTCAGGCGGGTGGGAGCGGATGGCCAAGTGGACAGCCAGGCGGCCCCAGTGCAGGCGAGAGCGATGGGCGACGGTTAGCAGTCCTGGGTGGCTGAGATCACCCAGTGGGCAAGCATAAGGGGGCGTCTACTCCAGCAGGGCAGGGGCAGCCTCAGGGGACTTTGGGGTGGGCAGTGATGAGCCATCAACTCTGGACATCTTTATGGAAGTTAGCAGGGAAGCAGGGAGAAGGCAGGGCTGTGGTCTGGGGGGAGCAGCTGCATGTCCCATGAAAGGTACGTGAGGTGGCCCTGCTGTTGGAGGGCGAGCCTCCTGAGAGGACCCGGGCTGAGCAAGGTCAGCAGTGGCCATTGTCCCTCCCACCCTCCCCTCTCCATGTGCCCGGGGCCTGGACTGTTGGCAGGCAGGTCGCCCTCGGCTGCCTCATGGGAGTGGAGACTCCCCTAGCTGACGAGATCAGGAAAGCCAGGGGCTGGGGGTGTGGGGGACAACGGGACAGTATGTCAGACACAGGAAGTAGGGGTGGAATCCTGGCCCATGCTAGATGTTGACCAGGCCGAGTGTGATGGGCACTGGGCACAGGTGTGCCGGGCAGCCCACAGGTGATAAACGGGGCTTGAGGTCAGGAGGCCAGTAAGAGGAGGCTGACACACCCATCCAGCCTAGAGGTTGTAACTGGGCCCTTCTGGGGAAAGACAGAGCCCTGAGGCAGGAGGTGGCCCTAGGAACAGCTGTTGGGGGTGTGCAGGTGGTGAGCTAGAAACTGCACACAGGGGTCCCACCGAGAAGGGGCTGGCTTCAGGAGTGAATGCCAGGAGGCCCCTGGCCTCACCCTCTAGACCTTGTAGGTGGGTGCACCTGCACTCAGGTGTGTAGCAGCCTGCTGGCCTGGCTGTGGGGGCAGCAAGAAGGTTCAGGCCAGGCCGCAATGCGGGGCAAGCAGGCCAGAGTCAGAGGTGGGGGCCCTGGGGCAGGCTGTTACCTGGTCAGTGACACGCCAACCTTGTGTCCCCTCAAAGGTATGACCCACGGCACAACCGCTGGTTCCAGATCCAGTCCCTGCAGCAGGAGCACGCAGACCTGTGTGTGTGTGTCGTGGGTGGGTACATCTACGCCGTGGCGGGCCGTGACTACCACAACGACCTGAACGCCGTGGAGCGCTACGACCCTGCCACCAACTCCTGGGCCTACGTGGCCCCACTCAAAAGGGAGGTAAGGAAGCCCTCCTGGGGAGGGGGGGGACAGTGTTCTCCTGACTTCTTTCCTACGGATGCAGAGGGTAAGAGGCCCAGGTGCTGGAGGCCTGTAATGAGCAGCCTGCCTGACCTAGGGCGCAAGTCCTATGTCACAGACCCCGGCCCCGTGGGCACAGGCCACAGCCCCTCCCAGATTGCACTGACAGTGTTGATGGGGCTGGGGCTGCCTGAGCGTCAGCCGCACCACAGCAAGAGAGGGCACGTGGAGGGCTCAGACCCTCCCCAGTCAGCGCACCCTGCCTCGGCTCCCGAAAGCCGTGTTAACCCTGCAGTTCCAATGTGGACAGAAGCCTTCCCCTCGTCTGTCTGTCCCTTGGCCTGGCTAAGATGAACAGGGACATTTCCAGAGAGGTTAACCAGGAGGGACCCTGGGATAAAAGAATGTTCCTTAGCTGGCTCCCTGGATTGGGGGGGCGGGGAGGCAAACGCATTCAAAAAACACTTCTAAGGTTTTAGTCTTTGTATTAACAACAACTAAAAAATTCATGTTCATCCTACACAATGCCTTTGTTCCAGTGTGACTGTGTTTAAAGTTGTGTACACAGTGCAGAGGCAGCACCTCAGGGAGGTCCCTCTTCTGTCCTGTGACTTTGGGGGTACTCAGACGTGGCCTGAGAACCACCCATGGGACCCCAGGGGAAGGAAGAGGCCTTGCTGGCCCCACCTCTGAGTGCTGGTACAGGCACTGCTGTTTGAAGTGCCTGCTGGGGGCCGGTACACCTCCCGGGGACCCACGCACACAGGCCCCGTCCCTGGCTCTGCCTGCACCCGCCTGGGGAGAGGCAGGAGCTCCGGCCTCGGGAGCCTCTCTCTGCTGCCTGTCATTTTTCTCTCCCACCCTTTCTGCAGCCCCCTGGGGACTTCAGCTTTGACCTTTGCGGGCAAGGAAATGGAGTCCATCTGACAGGTCCAGCTCCCATCCATCTGAGTGCCCCTTCTGCCCTTGGTCTGGTTCTCTGGGGGGAGGAAGCCCTCTGGGAGCGAGGTTCTCGAACCCCTTGCTGGAGAAAGAGGCATAGAAAAGATCAGGGGGCCCTTGAGACCTGGTGCCCCCTGGGGAACTCCTGTGTCCATGCCAGGAGGAGGGGAGGGGAGACCAGCCGGAAGCCTGGGGGAGCAGATTGAGCCCTCCGTCAGCGGCTGCGGGGTGGGGGTGGGGAGGGGTGGGGGGGAGCTGCAGTTCCCCAGCTTGGCCACAGGGGGGCAGCCGTGGCCTTCAGCGGCCTGCTTTGCTTCCTTCATGTACCAGGTCCTGAGAATCTTGTAGTGACAAGTGACAAGGACACCCCTCTCCCCAGATGATCTGCTCAGCCTCGCAGAGGGGGAGCCACACCTGACCACCAAACATGTTCACGATGACATTACAGTGTTCCAAGCATGAAGAAGGACATGGGGAGGGGCCTGGGCTGGGCTCAAGTGGGATAGTCCAGGGGGGCTGTTTGGGAATGGTTCACCTGCAGAGAGGTCAGACCAACGCCCAAGGAGAGACAGGGAGGGCTGGCGCAGTGGCGTAGTGGACTAAGCCTCTGCCTGCAGTGTAGGCATCCCATATGAACGCCAGTTCCTGTCCTGGCTGCTCCTTTTTTGATTCAGCTCCCTGGTTATGGCCTAAGAAAGCAGTAGAAGATGGCCCAAGTGCTTGGGTTTCTGCACCCTGTGGGAGACCCGGAAGAAGCTCCTGGCTCCTGGCTCCTGGCTTCATATCAGCCCAGCTCTGGCTGTTGTGGCTATCTGGGGAGTGAACCAGTGGGTGGAAGACCTCTCTCTCTGTCTCTACCTCTCTGTCTCTAACCCTGCCCATGAATCCTGGCTGTGGGAGTGGCAAGGGCGTGTGTTGGAGGCTTATTCAGAGCACTTGTGTACAGCCTGCGGTGGTGGTGGGGGGGGGAGCTCCCGCAGCCCTACAGAGGATTGTCACCTCCCTGATGCTGGCTGTCAAGCCAGCCTGCCCGAGGCTGGTGGGGCCCACGGTGACACCTTGGAGTCCAGGAGCATTGGTCCCTTGCGGTACTTTGTGAAGGTGTTCTGTGATCAGCAGCGTCACCATGCCGGATGCCGAGAGTTGTGGCCACTGAGATTTCCCTGTAGGGTGGTCCCCACATGTTGTCCGGAACCATCTGTGAGCCAGGCCCCAGCCTTCCTCTGTCAGCTGCTTGTGGTGCACAAGGCCACAGGTGCAGGCTGGGAGAAAGAAGGTAAAATAGCTGAGGTTAGAACTGCAGGTACCTGGGCCCCTTCTCCATGCAACTGCTGCGTGCCTTCTGGATTTGTTTGGGTCTGATCACGTATGTACCCCTGGAGGGCGGCCATGCACGCCTGGTGGGTCAGATGATACCCAGTTCACAGTGGACCATTCAGGTCACATGGTGTCTTGGTGGCCCATGGCTAGGCATTCAGTTTCTTTTTCTTTTTCTTTTTTCTTTTCTCTCTCTCTCTCTCTCTCTCTTTTTTTTTTTTTTTTTTTTTTTTTTAGATTTATTTATTTGAGAGGCAGAGCTACAGAGAGAGGGAGAGACAGAGAGGGGTCTTCCATCCACTGACTCACTCCCCAGTTGGCTGCGACGACTGGAGCTGGGCACTGGGAGCTTCTTCCGGGTCTCCCACATGGGTGCAGGGACCCAAGGAGTTGGGCCATCTTCCACTGCTTTCCCAGGCCATAACAGAGAGCTGGAAGATGAACAGCCGGGACTCGAACCTGCACCCATGTGGGATGCTGGCACTCAGGCATTCAGTTTCTACTAGTGCCCACTAGCAGGCCGAAAAGCTGCGTCTCAAGGCGAGAGTTGTGACGAGGCAGGGTCTAATTGTGAGATCCTGCGGGCCTCCACTGCCATTTCTTTGCAGGATGTGCACAGCGTCCCTGGCTGTCACCGACACCTCACGCACCATTGGATCTGCCCGGTCCTATTGGACTCTGCTGTGACAGAGTCCCTGACAGCAGCCTCGACTTGTTCTGTTGCAGAGCCGTATGCTGTCTCGGGTCACTGGGTGAATGGGCTGCAGTAACAGGCCTAATTTAGGAGCGTATTGCCCCCCCCATTTTAAAATATTTATTTATTTGAAAAGAACAGTTAGAGATCTTCCATCCGCTGGTTCACTCCCAAGATGGCCTCAATGCCCGGAGCTGAGCTGATCCTAAGCCAGGAGCCAGGAGCTTCTTCCAGGTCTCCCTTGTGGGTGCAGGGGCCCAAGGACTTGGGCCATTTTCCACTGCTTTCCCAGGCGCAAAAGCAAGGAGCTAGATTGGAAATGGAGCAGCTGGGACCGGAACCGGTGCCCATATGGGGTGCTGGGGCTGCAGGAGGCAAAGGTGTCTGCTAGCTCAGTAGCCAGCAGCTGGTTTTCATTTGTTCATGCCACATCTGGTGTGGCCGCCCCAGCTGGAGTCACTGCCTGGTTGAGCTTATGGTAGTCGCCGTCACTGTCCAGTGTCCGTCTGTCTTCTGCACAGGCCAGCCCCGAGAGTTGAGTGGGGGTGTGGTGGGACTCAGCCTCTTCCCATCCCTGATGGTGGCACGGACCTCCCCCCCACCCCCCGCAAGGGTGCTGGGCTGCGGTGCTGCTTCTGGTTTTGTTCTGCCTGGTGGAAGCAGCTCTCGAGGTCTCTGTTTGCCTTTTCCCACCATAGGAACCCTCATGTCACAGGTCAGGGACCCGGTGTAGGGGGTCAGCGAGCTGCTAAGTATGTTCCGATTACTCACCCTGCAACGGGAGGTGACAACCGGATGTGGCAGTCCCTTTCTGGCTGGAAGGGCCGCCGTGGTGTGCCAGGTCTCCTGGAATCAGGGTCAGTTCAGAGTAACAGTTGGACTTTTCAGTCATAAGCCAGCAGGAATACAGCATCCAAGGGCTCCGGGTCTGGAAATGGACCAAGGGACAGTGGCTGGCTGTCCGCTGGCCCTGGAAGATTTCTATTCACACAGCACAAGTGAAAACTCAGTGGGGCTTCCTATTTGCTTCACCTCGTGGCCATCGCTGTGTGGTTCTGCAGCTGGACTTTGAGTCCCTAAGCTTACCCCTTCCTCAGCCACTCTTTCCAGTGACGTGAGACACAGCCAACCAGCGTCCTTCTATTCCTTGGTTTTCCACAGACGTTCAAAAGTATACCCAAAGTCCCCAAGTTCCTGGCTGCGTCCAGGTGGCATCCCACAGAGATATTTTGCGTGTCTGTCAGTGCCGTCCGTGCGGTTGGAAGCACAAGCCGGATTTGAGAGCCAATTCCAGAAACCCAGGGTCACACTGACCTTCCGGGTGGTGACAGTTCCACCTTAAGGACTCGTCCTCCAAGAGGGACAGACCCTTTTTATCTTTTTAATCACCCGGTAAACCTAAAAAAGGCAATGATAGTCCCCCCCCACAAAAAAAAATAGTTTGTTGCAACACACACAAAAGCAAAACAAACAAAAGGGTATGAAGATACGGGCACAGATAAGTCACTCCCCCGAGCACAGAGTGGCTCACAGCAAACCTCAGACTGTGTCCACAGAGCAGCCCCTCCAAACAGTCCCTCCCCTCAGGCAGGGCCCAGATATTCGCAGCGCAGAGCCCCGGCGAGTCCTGCCTCAATTGGCAGTCTGCAGGCACTGGTATTTATAGTCGGGGAAGGATGTGTGACCTCAGCTCCCAGACATCCCCGCCTCACCTGCGTGGGGGCACACAGCTGTCGCCAGTGTGGCCGGCCATCAGCCAGCCGTGGAGGGTGCTCAGCCACCCACGGGGCTCGAGTGCAGCTGGTGATGCCCAAGGAAGCTCAGAGTGGTTAGTGCTGTCGGCTCGTAGTCACATTCCTCATCATCAGAATACCAGTTTACTTAGACTCATGAGAATCATAACAGCAAAGAAAACAAAAAACCACAGATCCCAATACTCCAGAGCCAGTTAAGGAAACGCACCTTTGAAAAAAACCAATGGGTTCCCGGGGGGACCACTCTTGCTACCAAAACCTATTAGCCAGGGTACTCCAGAGAGAGAGCCTCTCTCTTCCGTCTCTCCCTCTGCTTGTAACTCTGCCTCTCAAATACATAAATCTTTATTTTGTTGCAAAAAATATGTTGGAATCCATGCCGTTTTTCTGTAGTACACACTTTTTTGTTTCTTTAAATATTTATTCATTTTTTTGAAAGAGTTACAGAGAGAAAGAGGTACACACACACACACACACACACACACACACAGAGGGAGGGAGGGAGGGCGGGCTTCCAGCTGCTGGTTCACTCCTCACATGTCTCCAACAGCCAGGGCTGGGCAAACCAGGGCCATCTTCCACATCTCCCACGTGGGTGCAGGGGCTCATGCACTTGGACCATCTTCTGCTTTTCCCAGGCCATTAGCAGGGAGCTGGATTGGAAATGGAGCAGCCAGGACACGAACTAGTGTCCATATGGGATGCTGGCATTGCAGGCAGTGGCTTTACCCACTACACCACAGTGCTGACACATGTAATACATATTTTCTGCAGACATTTTGAACACCCCTCATAGGTCGTGCAGGCTGTTCGGTCCACCTCTCTAGCATCTTGTGTCACGCGCAGCCCCCAAGTGGTAGGGAATGGCTCCTGTGACATAGCCCTGGAGCCTCCATGCCTCGTGAGGCTCCTCCCACCAAAACTCACGCAGCACCTCTGTGAGTGGGTCCTGGAGGCCTCAGGGCCATGTGAGGCATGGTGTCATGGACGCCAGCAGGGCCATGCAGAAGTAGCCGTCAGTCAGGCTAGAGAGCCCTGGAAAGGCTGAAGGCCAAAATCAAGAGCGGTGTGCGTGCCTTCCCTGCCACGCACCTGTCACCAAGGATGGAGTGTCCCTCCCACGGTCACCCCCATTCTCCCCCGCTGGGCCTTGGGACCAGAACCTGGGCAGGTGCCAGAATCTGCAAATACTCAAGTCAAAAATAGTGTATCTGGGGCCAGCGCTGTGGCAGAGCTGCTGAAGCCGCCGCCTGCAGTGCAGGCTCCCATATGGGCACTAGTCCTGGCTGCTCCATTTCTGATCCAGCTCTCTGCTGTGGCCTGGGAAAGCAGTAGAACTCCATCTGGGTCTCTCCCAGTGGGTAGCAGGGGCCCCAGCACTTGAGCCATCACCTCCCTCCCCGGATGCATTAGCAGAGAGCTGGCTGGGAAGCCCAGAGTAGCTGGGATTCGAACCCACGTGCACCAATATGAGATGTGGGCATCCTGGGCGGCTTGACTGCTGCGCCCCGACAACCACCCCCTCCTCCTTTATGCTTTAAGTCATCTCGAGGGTCCTTATGACCCCTAGCACCCTGCAGATGCTGAGTAAAGAAACAGCAAAGTCCTGTAGACGGTCTCCATGGTTGGAAAGGACAGATCAGAGGGCCGCCTGTGGTTGGCTCTGCGTCTCCCTGTCTTCCTCCCCACAACGTGGCTTTATGTCAGTTAAGTGCTGCTTGCCAACAGCTCTTGGACTTGAGTCAGCAGGCGCGGGGGTAGGGAGGAGGGGCCTTGCCTGGCCAGTGTGGGTGGGGAAGAAGGAGTGGCTTGGGGTGCCCCGTGTGTGGGTGGGGGGTGGGGGTGTCTCTGGCTGCTTCTGCAGAGGTATGCCTTGGTTTCCCCGGAGGATTCCCCCAGGTAAGAGTTCCCTTTGGGGGTGAAAGGAAGACTAAGATTGCACTTGATGTCTGGGTCTGCAGATGGACAGTGAAGTCCAGTGAGAGCCCAGAGAGCATTGTCCTTGGCGTGTGAAGAGCAAACAGGGGGCGAGGTGGACACCTCTGGCCAGCCCCACCCACTGCTCTCTCATCCCCTCCGTGTCCCCCCAGGTGTACGCCCACGCGGGTGCCACGCTCCAGGGGAAGATGTACGTGACCTGTGGCCGCCGAGGGGAGGACTACCTGAGGGAGACGCACTGCTACGACCCGGCCAGCAACACCTGGCTCACCCTGGCCGACGGGCCTGTGCGGCGGGCCTGGCATGGCATGGCTACGCTCCTGGACAAGCTGTACGTGATTGGGGGCAGCAACAATGACGCCGGCTACAGGCGGGACGTGCACCAGGTGGGCCGCGCTCCGGGGCTGCCCCTCCAGCTGGCACTGAGGAAAACAAGTGCCTGCCTGCCTTTTTCTTTCTTCTTTTCTTCTCCTCTCCTCTCCTCTCCTCTCCCCTCCCCTCCCCTCCCCTCCCCTCTCCTCTCCTTTCTTTTCTTTTCTTTCACAGGCAGAGTGGACAGTGAGAGAGAGAGAGAGAGAGAGAGAGAAAGGTCTTCCTTTCCCGTTGATTCACCCTCCAATGGCCGCCACGGCTGGCGTGCTGCGGCCGGCGCACCGCGCTGATCCGATGGCAGGAGCCAGGTACTTCTCCTGGTCTCCCATGGGGTGCAGGGCCCAAGCACTTGGGCCATCCTCCACTGCACTCCCTGGCCACAGCAGAGAGCTGGCCTGGAAGAGGGGCAACCGGGACAGAATCCGGCGCCCCGACGGGCACTAGAACCCGGTGTGCCGGTGCCGCAAGGCGGAGGATTAGCCTAGTGAGCTGCGGTGCTGGCCTCTTTTTCATTTTTTGACATTAGGGCTCACTCTTGGTGTTGCAGCTTCTGTGGGTTTGAGGGGCGCAGTCCCCAGCCCTCTTATATCCTGTCTAAGCTTGGTTGGTCCCAGGTTAACATCACAAGTCGGGCTGCCTCCCGGAAGAATGCAGATTCTCCAGCCTCACCCTACACCTGCTGACCCGGGAGCGCTGCAGGGGGTGGGCGTGGCCGGAAGGATCGTGGAGGCGGTTCCCTTCGGCTGGGCTGCCGGCTGCTGTAACTACTGGCCCCAACCTTAGTGAGTTAAACCAGGAAGCGTGTTTACTCACAGCTCTGTGGGTTGCCCCTAGCCTGGGCTGCTGCATCTTCAAAGCTAGCAACAGTAGGGTCAGTCCTCACTTCTCACCTCTCCTGTCTGGTTTCCCTTCCCCCCTCTTTTTTTTTTTTTTTTTTTTTTTTTGAGTGACAAGGATTTTCCATATGCTGGCTCACTGCCCAAATGCCCACAACAGCCAGGGGCTGGGCCGGGCTGAAGCTAGGAGGATCCAAGGACTCCATCGAGGTCTCCTACATGGGTGGCAGGGGCCCAAGGACCTGAGCCGGTACTGGCTGCCACTCAGCATGTGCGGAGTCAGTCAGGCGCTGTGCCGTGGAATGCCGGCTTCCCAAGTGCGCCAAGTGCCCGCCCCTTCAAGTTCTCAAGGGCTGTGCACTTAGGTGGGTCCCCTAAAAAATCCAGGAAAACCAGCCCTGGAGCTCCATCTAGCTAGAAAAGCCAGAAATGGCTAAGCAGTCACGAAGGTAAGTTGTTGTTTTAAAATAAGACTTATTTATTTTTTTACTTGAAAAGCGGAGTAAGAGGTAAGGCAGGGAAGAGAGAGAGAGAGAGAAAGGGAAAGAGATCTTCCATCAGCTGGTTCACTCCTGCAATGGCCAGGCCTTGAGCCCAGGCCAAGCCAGGAACCAGGACCCCATCCAGGTCTCCCAGACAGGTGGCAGGGAGAGGCCCAAGTCCTTGGGCCATCCTCTGCTGCTTCCCAGGCGTATGCGCTGGGAGCTGGGTCAGGAGCGGAAGAGCCGGGACTCGAACCGGTGTTCCATTATGGGATGTCAGCATCACAAGTGGTGGCTTAACCTGTTGTTAACAATGCCAGCCCCAGAAGGTAAGATTTTAATAGCTCTCGGGGCTTACTGCCTGATCCCTCACCCTGCGTGGCAGACCCATGCCCGGTACTGTGACTCCACCCCACCGTCGCCAGCAGTGGGTGCCGTGGGCGGTTTTTTCCTTCCCCCAGTGGTTGCTGGGAAACAGTTGGAAATCTGTCCCCGGCATTTTGGTTTCTTGGCTTACTGGTAGGCTGAACGTTTTCCATGGTTTACTGTTGGGGATCATTTCAAAGACAGAAGGCAAAGACGGTGGTGACCACTTCCGCATTTCGTCTGCACCCCACCCCCGCCCCCGTGTTGGTGGGGGGGAGAAACCATGTCCTCAGGAACCACAGATGACAGCGTCCTGAGGGGGACAACCCCTGTGTGCACGGGGACCAGAGGCCAGCCGGGGCGGGGGGGCTGCCTGCAGGAAGGCGAGGGACCTGCGGACCTGGCCCCTGGCCGTCTGGCAGGACAGAAGGTCACCCTGGCCCCAGGCCAGGTAGGGAGGGGGCTGGTGCCAGGTATACCCGGGGCCTGTCAGATGGGCTACAGCCCCGCCACAGCTCTGGGCTCGACTCTGCCCTTGGCTTTGCAGGTGGCCTGCTACAGCTGCACATCGGGACAGTGGTCGTCCGTCTGCCCGCTCCCAGCTGGCCACGGCGAGCCCGGCATTGCCGTGCTGGAGAACAGGATCTACGTGCTGGGCGGCCGCTCGCACAACCGCGGCAGCCGCACGGGCTACGTGCACATCTACGACGTGGAGAAGGACTGCTGGGAGGAGGGGCCCCAGCTGGACAACTCCATCTCGGGCCTGGCGGCCTGCGTGCTCACTCTGCCCCGCTCCCTGCTCCTCGAGCCGCCCCGCGGGACCCCCGACCGCAGCCAGGCTGACCCAGATTTTGCCTCCGAGGTGATGAGTGTGTCAGGACTGGGAGGAGTTTGACAACTCCAGCGAGGACTAGGGCTCCAGGCCTGGGGTCGGAGGTCAGGGTGGCAGCAGCCGCCAGGGCCTAGGTCAGGGCAGCTGACTCCAGGGTTGGGGGGCCTGCCCATGGCGCCCAGGGTTCCCCGGCTGCTGCACCCTTGCTTTATGCCAACCCCTGGGCCAGCCTGGTTGACCGCCCAGTGGGACGTGTTCCTGGACCTCGTCGGTGAGTCCTGGGACTGGGTGAGGGGAGACTCAGTGCCACCTGCTCGGCCTTTCTCCCACCCCCACCCTCGCCTGTACGGTCCCTGCCGGCCACAGAAGGTCCCTTCTCCAAGGGAACCATCGAGGCGGATGGGCTGGGTGCACAGCCCGGGCCCGCAGCCTGCCCGGCAGCTTGAGCCATTGCAGAGCGGGCAGAGCCGCCCTAGGTGCCTGGGCCTGGCTCTGGTGATTCAAAGCCCCCCCCAGCCCCGACTCCCCCTGGGTTTTTCTGACCCTGTGTTGTTGATAAATGAAATAAAAGCATCCTAATGAGCCAGAGCCAGCGGCATCAACTGCTTTCTGGTGGCCACGCCCCCCCGTTTCTCTGCTTCTGAAGCTTGCAGGCTTCTGAGGTCAGAAACCCTGGGACGCCCCCAGGGCCAGGGCGCAGCGCTGTGGGAGAGACAAGCACAGCGAGCTCCCGTGGTTCCTGGGGAGGACCCACAGCCCAGCTCCCCCAGAACTTCTAGCGGTTCCTGTGCGAAATCTCTCGGCTTCAAGCGAAGCCCCTTCCTGGGGGCCCAGAAATGGCAGGCAGGCAGGGGCACAGGAGGGTACAACAAGGGGACACAGTCCTGGTGAGGGTGCCCCACTGGCCTGGGCCCTGCTCCTCCCAAGTGTGCGGTGGGGAGGGACCCGTCCCACAGTCCCACAGGTGCACCAGGTGGTGCCTGGGCCACCTCATGCCAGCACCGAAGGCGGGACCCTCCCCTGACCAATGCTCCTGGGGCTTTGTCCGCCCTCGGGAGCACTGCGGATGGGCACCGGCCCCGGCCAAGGCCAGGCTTTCACCTGAACACACGCCGTGCCCGGCTGTTCTGCTGAGGCCCTGTGGGGGCATGGGGAGGGGGCGAGGCCCCTCGACCCGCTCGTGGCTGGCGTGGCACCGCGCAGCCACAGCCCCGCCTGCCTGAGTGGAGGCCCAGGGCTCCAGCATAATACCCAGGCTCCCTCAGGCCCTGCTCCTGCGGAGGCCTGCTCACCCTTCAAGGTCCACATCACCTCCTCCAGGAAGCCATCCTGGCCAGTGGTCACTCATCTCTGGGTGCCCCTGGGCTCACACCTGATCCATGCTAGCGTCCACCTGGGACCTCCTGCTTGTGGGCACTGCTTGGGGAGTGGCCAACGGGAAACAAGTCTGGGGGAAGCAGAAAGGAGGAGATGGAGGCCCATGTGCCTGTTGGGGGCTTCTGTCCCGGCCAGGTGAGTGCCCGGGTCTAGTCCTGGGGGCGGGGCTGGGACAGACTGCGACCCCAGGGACCTCTGCTGGTAGCCCAGGGCAGCCTCTGGGGGAGGGCCCCCCACACTTGGGAGGGCACAGCTGAGGTCAGGGCGCGTGCCGGGGCTGAGCTGAGCGGCCTGTTTGCTTGTCTGGGAGAAGTGTTTGCATTGGTGACCACACTGCACTGCCCTCGACTTCCAGGCCACCCCGCCTTGCTCCCGCTGCAGCCAGCTGAGGGCCTGGCCGGGGGTGGGGGGTGGGGTGGGTGTCCCCAGCTTCCGGCACTCCCCGCCCCCAGCGGTCCCAAGTTGCCCATGGCCTTCGGCCCTTTCTGTGCCTGCTCCCCGGGGCAGGCAAGTGCCCTCCGGCCTCAAGTCCTCAAGATCAGTTCCTCCTCGTTGGGTCCTGAGTGCCCACGGGGATGCTTGTGCTTCCTGCCCACACCCCCCAACCTGTGGACCTGGGGCTCCTCCGACCCCCTGCTGGTTCCCAGGCACCACCAACCATCCCCTCTCCCTGACCCTACCTCCCTCTGCTCCAAGCTGTCACCTCACCCTGCCCAGCTCTGGCCTCTGCTCCCTGGAGGTCCTGAAGCCCTCCCCAGCAGCATCCAGCTCCCAGGCTCCCCAGCCCCTCCCCACGCACCCCCGGCCAAGGGCCCACGCCGCCGTCTCTAACTTCACCTCCACCACCTGGCGGAGTCCAGAGCCAGAGCCATTCCGCCTCCACGGCTGCATCTCTCCCACCGTCCCCACCAAGCCCCTCCGCCCCAGGCCCCTGGTCCCTGGTCCCTGGTCCCTGGTCCCTGGTCCTGACCGAGTCTGCCGGCAGGCCTCAGGCATCCTCCCGCTCAGTCGGATCCCGCGCGGTGCGCGGAGACACCGAGGGCTTCCCCGAGAGCAGAGCGGCCGTCTGTGGGTCACCCTACCCTGGCAGGTTTCACGGCGCCGGGGTGTGGGCCGGGGGCCGAGGACGTCGCGCCCGCGTCCGTCTCGCCCTCCCCGCGCGGGGCTGGCCCGCAGCGAGCGCCCTGGGGCGGCTTCAACGCGGGTGTCTAGAGAGGGGAGGGGAAGGCGCAGGAGCGCGGGACTCCCCGCGCGGGCCCCGCGCCGTCTCCTCCGAGTCGGCCCCCCAAGTTCGTGAGTGGCCGCGTGGGGGCGGGGGCCGCGCGGAGGGGCGGCGGCGCGGCCGGAGGGTGGGGTCTGGCGCGCGGGGCGGGCGCTGCCGCCTGGCCGGCCGCGGCTGGCCCGGGATCAGGGAGCCGATGTGGAATTTCCTGCCCGGCCCGGCGCCCCTCCTGCCGCCCCCCGCCCGGCCTCGCACTCCGTTTCCGGCCGCTGTCGCTGCGGCCGCACCCGCGCCCGCGCCCGCCCCGCGCCTGCCCCGCGCCGCATGGAGGGCGCAGGGCCTCGGGGGGCTGGGCCGGCGCGGCGCCGGGGAGCCGGGGGCCGGTTGCTGCTGCTGCTGCTGCTCTGGCTGCTGCCCGGCCCCGCTGCGCCCCAGGAGCTGAACCCGCGCGGCCGCAACGTGTGCCGCGCGCCCGGGTAGGAGGCCGGCCTGCCTGCGGGAGCGGGCCGAAGGGGGCGCGCGGGGCCGGGGGAGGCGGCACCGACGTCGGTGGGGCGGGGGCGTCGGGACCTCCGCACGCCAAGCGCGCGGGCCCCTCGGCGGCCCTCGCCGACGCCAGCTCAATTGCAGGCAGAACCTGGGAACTCCCCCCAACCCCCGGGCACCTCGGTGCCTCCGAGGAGACCCCCGACGGGAAGTCCCAGGGGTGGGGGCGGGGTGGGGATACCCGAGGAGCTGACACTCGGTGTCCGGGGTTCCCGTCGGGCCAGGTCGTGAGGGCGGTAGGGACAGCATCTCCCGTATGCAGAGGCGCGAGACAGGCGCGTGGCTCGAGCCGATGGGGAGGGGGGGGGTTGAAGGGAGAGGGAGCGACGCTCCCCAGAGGTGGCAGCCGAGGTCTGGGGGCCGGCGAGGCTTGGACGGACAGATGTGTGTCCTGGAAAGAGCAGGCGCGGGTGGTGACCCAGACGGAGGCGGCGCTCAGGGCAGCCGAGAAGCGGGGGTCGAGAGGACCACGATGGGCGTGGGGGATGGGAGGACGTGGGGACCCCCGGCGACTCCCAGGTGTGGATGCTGGGTACGTGGGGCGCCGCGCGCAGAGGGGGGCGCCATGGGGACAGGCCCGGCCGGAGGGTGGCAGGGCCCGGAGCTCGTGCGGAGGGCCCAGAGCCCAGGACGCGACGCCAGGGGTGGGCTCGGGGGCCCCGGCCACCACAACGTCTGTGTGCATCTCGGCGAGGCGGCGGGGAGGGGGCCGCGGCGGGCGCCTGGGCTCGTGTAGGGGGCGCCGCACCCGGGCGGGCAGGACAGCTGAGGAGGTGGCGCGGGACGCTCCGGGCTGGGTGCCCTCGGGGCGCCGCGGGCCCGCAGGGTCGGAGCAAGGCCGAGTCCAGGGGCTCGGAGGTCGCCGTAGACAAGGGGGCCCGCGCGGGGTTCCCGAACGCGCGCAGACCCCTCCCCGCCGCGAGCCCCGCCTCCGGGGCGGGGGCCGGCCTGGGCCGCCATCTGCTTCGCATCGACGCCGCCGCCGCCGCCGCCTCCTCCCCGGCCTCCCCGGCCCCAGGAATGCAGCGGCCGCGGCAGCCGCGGCGGGCGGGCGGGGCTGGGCCTGGAGACGCGGGGCAGGGCGCGGGGGGAGGGCGCGATCGCCGCCTGCCCCGTCGGCCCGCGCCAGCCGCCTCCTCCCGCAGCCCCGCAGCGGGGCCAGGGCCGGGGATGGGGTCCTGAGGCCCCTGTCCTGCAGACTTCCCCAGGCGGCGGCCTGAGCCAAGCTCCAGGTTCCTCCCTAGCTGTGCGGACTTCGGCCAGGCGCTTGACCTCTCTGAGCCTGGAAAATGCAGCTGCGGACGGCGCCCAACTCTCGGGGTTCTCGGGGGTGGGGTGGGGGGGAGGTTACTGTGTGGTCAGGGCTCCCGGGGAGGACACTGCCTGCTGGGGAGCCGGCCGTGCCTTTGTTACCCTCTTAAGAGGGGGGCGGGGGAGAGGAGCGTGCATGGCGGGGCATCACGCACACGCCCCTACGGTGTGCCAGGCACGGTCTGTGCGGGAGGTAGGAGGAGACGGAGGAGGGTATCTTGGAGTTCCTGGGAAATGCAATCTAAGTCTTTGGTGCAAAAATGGAAAATGTGCGTTACTGAAAAACTTCATGGATACCCCCACCCCTTATTTTTGTTGGCACAAAATAAACTTTTTAAAGAGGGAGAGAGTGAGAGTGAGAGCGAGAGCGGGAGCCTGTCTGTTGGTTCACCCCCCAAATGCCCACGATGGCCAGGGCTGAAAGTAGGAGCCAGAAACTCAGTCCTGCTGGGAATTGAACTCTGGCACTTCCGCGTGGGATGCAGGTATCCCCAGCTGGTGTCCAAGCTACCGGACCAAACACGCGCCCCTGAACGGATGCCTTAGTTCCACTTTCCCACCGACTTTTTAAAGCACTCTTGCAACTGCAGTGGAGATGCAGAGCTGGTGTTGAGTTGGGGGTTGCTGCCTCCCTCAGGCTGATCGGGGAGACCGCCTGAGAGAGTGGGCAGTGGGCACAGGCCTGCATGAGGGGAGGCAGGATCCGGTGGGTGTCAGGGGCACGGCCCGTTGGAAGCAGGGTGAGGAGCCACGGGGCTGGGCAGAGCCCGCGAGGGCCGGAGTGTCTGCCCCCTGCTCAGAGGACTTGGGCTTTTTCTCCAGGGCCAGGGAACTCTGGGGGGTGAGGCCAGGGTTGGCAGCCAGGTGGCAAAAGCACTGGGGTTGGGAGAGTGGGAGTTGGGGCGGGGTGGAGGGTGGGGTGGGGGTGTTCTCAAGGGTGGGGCAGGGCAGGGAGAAGCGGCCCCACCCTCAGTGTTGTTGGGAAGGTGGAGGTGGTCTGTTTCTCAGAGCACCCATGGGATGGAGTCAGGGATGCCTGCTGGGTCTCAGCCCCCCAGTTTGGAAGGACAGGGGTGGCCTGAGATGGGGAAGGCCTGGGGTGCAGAGGCTGGGAGTTTAAGTTTCATTTTTT